TTTTTGTCAATCCTAAAATATTTTCAGTGACGGTAAATGGTAAGACATACCGTAAGAAAAAAAAATTTCCTGAATTTTTTTCTCGTAAGTCAATCAAAACATTCCTGCAATTTAAAGGCGGAAAACAAAAACACTCGGCCTAAATAACTCTTTCCTTACCCACACTAGTGATATAATCAATCTGCTATTTACTACCATGATGGGCCCATCTCTGGAGAAGACTTTAAAGTTTAATAAAACAAGCTCCACCATCTGAAAATTACCTTCTTGCATTCTTTAACAGATCAACAAAAGTGAAAGACAAAGAATTTTAACACCTTCAGTCCACTCCAAGAATTGCTAATGGAGTTGTTTTCATTGCTGTTATGATTGATTTTATACTATTTAAAACAATAAGCGATACATTTATTACAAAAGCAATTACTTTCCAAACATATCCAAAATTTTCAATCTGATTTATTCACATAATTCTAATGGGTTTTTGATCAGAACATGGATTATATATAAGAAAAACACAAAGTTGGATGCTCCTGAGTGGAGGGAGGGTGAGAGGGAAAAAACCACAACAATTTAAAAGGATTTTCAGCGTTTGGTTTATTCAGGCTGCAAGAGAGAGCAAGAGTTTCAATAGTTAATAGAAAGGCTCAGTGGAGGGCAGCAAAGTTGCTGCTTGTTTATCCTTTTGAGCTTTCAACCATTATGTTATGGGACAAGCTGAATTTGAGAATATTAATAACCTCTTCAAACTACAAATTAGTTGAGGAAGGATGGACATTGTTTGGGGAACACACACAGATACTGATGTCCTAAATACGCTAAACCCACTCATCATCAATCCTAATCCTATTTCAGCAACTGCAGTCTCACACAAGAAGCTTGATATCACTTGCCATTAGTAGAAACAATGAGGGAAGGACAGAATGTACTCCAATACTAGAAAGTAAAATGAAGTAAAAATATAATAAATCAAACATCTGGATTAAGCAAGCCCCTATTATGGTAAACTTGTTTATCTCATCAGCAGAGCTGCAGGAAAAACTGGAGAGGCACTGGTTGAGGTAATGCTTCTCTGGAGCTTCTCCCAGGCATGAGAGGTTTGACCACAGCCTCATGAACATCAAAGCTCGTAAAAGCCAACACAATGAGCAACCAATACACCGTCACCACAGACGGGAAACATGCTTGCATCACAGACGCAAATCTCTTCAGATAAGAGAACTCAACATTCCACAAACATTCTCTCATTTAAGTGCTTCTCTGTTGCATAAGCTCTTCTTACAAAGGTCAGGGGTCAATCCCACCAAGAGTGACCTCTATGAGGTTATTAGTGGGGAGTATCTTTCTCCAACTGAGTATGGAGCTTTTATCGTGCCTTTATGGCCTCAATGGTCAGAATATTGGGTTCCCTGGATGCTCTGAAATTCCTCTCTGCAGCTTTTATTCTGCATAAAATGAGCAGGGAAAATAATCCCAGGCCACTTCATTCACACCTGTCCATTCATATTTACTTCACAAAGGGGCGCTTGTGAGAGAAGAGTCTTCAATTGCATGGTTTGCTTCTTGTTTTAGAAAAAAAGAGGGGAAAAGGAAGACTTGCACACAGAAAATACATATCAAACCTCCAATGGTAAGTGTTTAATAATTCTGCCTGATTTATCAGTGTGTTAAATTAACCCTGTGGTATTTATAAATTAATTCTGCCAATAATAAATAAAAAATTAGACAGGAAAGAAACCAATTAGCTAATAGCCTAAAATTACATCATTTTTTAGTCCTTTACACTCAAGTAATGCTAAAGTTAATGCATTTTCATATAGTTTCTAGTTCCTGGAGCCAAAATGTGATCTTCCTAAAATATCAAAGAATGGGAGATGTTAATTATCAAAAATATGGGTTTTGATTACTTGAAGCTTGATTTCACCATTGAAATCAGTTATTGTTGCATTTATAGTTTAATATAAACTCATCATGATTGTGGGTGTCAAACGGAAAATGAACCCACAGTCTAATGGTCATTTCTGACAAAACAACACACCATCTCACCACTCAAATGATCACAAACTCATTTTTTGAACATGACAATAAGTTCCCTGTACTCAAAATGGATCCAAAGTCACCAGATTTCTAATCGAGCACATCTGGGATATGGTGGAGCAGGCAATTCACCACAATGAGGTGCAGCTGACAAATGTTTGATAACTCAAATGTCATCATGTTCAAATGTACCAAAGTCTGAGGAATGTTTCAGACACCTTGTTAAATCTGTGCTGGTTCTAGACGCAGTAAGCAGGTCAAACAGAATATCTTCATCTATTAACTGGACAATGAATGTAAATCTGGACATTCCTCCATTCTGTGCCTTCATCAGTTTTGCATGTCATCACATGACCAGTGGTTTATAATCTGGCATGTAAACCTGAAAGATTTAAAACTAAGATAAAAAAAAAAGAAGCGATAAGAAATAAAGTACAACTATAGCTCTGTAGTTACAACGCTTAAGGAGGGCGAAACAACTTTACATGCAAATGTATTTAAACAATTTTACCTCACGATTCTCTCCAAACATGTTTTTTTTTTTTCAAAACAAATGTCCTTCTGCATCTCCTCTGCTTAGTTGTTCGCCATGTGGTAATTTTGTTTTGATTTGGTTCCACCTTTTGTAGGGGAGTGTTTTTTTTATATATATAACTTTCACTGCACTTGAAATCACAAAAGTTGGCCTTGATGCCAAATGTACACCAGATAAAATCAATGTCTCAAACGCTATGTTAAGCAGGACTAAACCATAGCAGAAGCAGGCACTGACTGAGTTCCTGTAAATCAAGTTTTATATAAGAGATGAGCTCCACAAGCATATTTTTCTTTCCATCATTATATTCTTAAAGTTTAAAGTCCACATAAAGAAATACCAGAGAAAGTGCTGGAGTGGCAAGTTTGATCCATCTGTATAATCAAAGCTTAATCTAGCAATATCTGCCCTTTCTGTTGGTGTGCTGCACTTCTCATTTACAGTAGTTTGGTGTCTGCTGTGCAGGTCAAGTAATATTAAGCTAATGGTTTCTTTGATCTTTGAGAAGAAAATCCAAAAGCATCATATTATTAGCTCAGAATTGATAGACAGTGGCTATTTGCAGGTCGATATTTGTGGATTTTTCTGTGGCATGTCGCTCTGTACTACCACCGGAATATTTCCAGATACTTCCCTGAAGCATATCTAAAACATTCAAAATAAAATGCAGCTCGGGAAGTTGCTCCACCTAGACGCAATGCTAGTTGACACACATCGCAATTTTTTTTTATTAACACTGGTTCCCAAACTTCGACACAAAAATATAACAGCAGCAGCAAAATCTGACCTGGCTGCAAACAAGAGTTGCTAATAAGCCAACTGAACACTGACATATTTCAACAAAAGGAAAAGTTCATCCACTTATAGTTTTGAAACTTCGATGGAAACATGGCCAAAACTGTGCAATTGCTTTTAAAAAGGAAGACCTCCCATGTGTTGTTTTGTGACCCAGAAAGGGCTCCCCACCCTAACTTTAGGCAGCACAAATCTAAGATATATGGCAACGCTCATTTGCTGAAGGCCAGCATTACCGGCTGGCCCATGTTCAACCTTCAAACAGTTTTGCTTGACACTACAGAGCACCTAATAACAGGATTTAGAGCACCAGCTGACAAGATTTGGTACACAAAGAGCACAGAGTTCTGGGTGGGTTGTGAAAGTGAGAACAAATGGAAAATGGGAAGGTTGTGGACCACTTTTAACCCTAATAAAAACAGCTCACACTCCCAGCATTTCTGTATAATTTGAGTGCTTTCAGAGTACATAATCTCAGCGGTGGCCCTCACTAGGTTGACTGGCAAGGCTTCATATCAGAGTTCCTGCATGTGTCTGAACCACAGGAATCAGGCCAGGAGTGTGACATGATTTAAATTCAAAAACAATGAATGTGAACCGCCGCCTTCAAACACATACAGACGGAGACGCGCACCCCTCCTTCCCTCCCAGAGCAGCTTTCTTTTTTCCTCGCTGCAGAGGCTCGATTAAACCAGACACATGTATGAGAGGAATTTGGAGTCTTTTGGGGAAAACAAGAGCTGGTCTTTGCTTCAAATCATTTATGGAAGTGTTACACACACTGACCCCTAGGAATCACATTTCTGAGTAACAATTCTCTAAAACAGTCCCACGTTGCTGTATTACATATGAGGAATGTTAAACATTTGAAGTTACAAAAGGAGGAAAACAAAAAAAATGCAACTGTAGAACCATTTATATGGTTCTACAGTACAGCACCAAACATGTGCTCATAATTTGCCTCAACTCTTCAATCCTCTAAGATATTATTTATGAGTTGTACCATTTTCTACAAAACGTGGCACAAATTTAGCAGCTTAAACACGTTTCACATTGTGCCATGAAAAAACTTTTCACAATCACAAATTTGAGTCCATTTTTAATCAGACAAGATGTGGTGAAAAAGATTTTGTAAATATAAATCTAAAGTATTTGTATTCAATCCCCTTCTGCTTTTTGTACATTTTAGCTGTTCTCTCAACACACCTGACTTGAGGCCTTTTTATTTTATGGCTTCCTGAAGGGACCAATCATTTCAATCAGGGTTCATCTAAAGCGTGCTGGACTCTGAAAACCTGGTGATTATCGACAGCTGACTCCATTAGTTCAGACTTTGATCAGTGGCTTCTTTCTTTTAAGTGCCTTTTAAAGCCACAAGAGTTTATGTAATGTTGTAATGGCAAAAGGGGATGAATACAATCACACCACACTTTTAAGATTTTTATTATTATTATTATTACACCATCCCTTTCCTTGGACTTCACAATAGAGTACCAGTACCTGTCATCGCAATACATTGATAAAATCTCATTTTCAAAAATCCAGACTGTAAACAACAACTACCTCATTAGAAAAAGGTTAGTTGCTTCGGTGCATGGGAACCAAATAGAGATATAGCTCCACATATCACACTCACCTCATTGGACGGTATGCTGACAACACCTGTAGATCTCCTCTTTTCCCTCAACTTCCTCTTCTCAATCTGTCCTTTACCCTTCCTTGCACTGGGGCCTGAGTTTTTCTTCTCCTTCCCCTTGCTGGGTGATGGTGACGGACTGTCCTTGTCACTGTCATTATTGCACGCCATCATAGAGCTGGAGTCCGGCGAAGCGCACCGAGTCTTCTCCGTCTGAGGCGGGGCCTTCTTCAGGTTGCTCCCCTGGGCGGTGGGGGTGGTGGCTGCGGGTGCGGCCGGGTGGGGCGCCTCTTCCTCGGCTCTGTTCAGCGTGCCACCGGAGGGGGACCGAGCCACCGGAGAGGAGGAGGAGGTGCGGCAGTTCCCCGCGGAGGCGCTTCGGTCCGGGTTGGCGCAGGGCTCGGGGCCCGGCGGAGCGCCGAGGCGGGTGTTGCTGGTGCTACCGGCGGGACTCAGGGGGACACCAGTGGCTTTTGCGATGTCCCCCAGCATTTTAGCCCGCATTTTCTCCCTCTTTGCCTTCCACTCCTCCAAAAAGTCAGCGGGTGCGTTTGACTTAAACCCGCCTGTAGCCATGATCCCTTTACTGCTTCGAAAGTTGGTAAAAGTAAAGCTGAAGTTGGTGCAAACTTCCAGGTCTGGACAACCTTCCTAATGAAACCACATTCCTCAAGTGATTCACCGTGGAGCTGTTGACAGGTTGCAGGAAAATAAAGTCAGACTCCCTGGAAACAACAGCTAAAATGTTTTCAAACAACTAACAAACTAAAATGTTTCTGTCTCGCGCAGACGCTCGAGAACGCACTTTCTTCAAAACGTTAAAGCTTTGTACCCATTTAAACCCCCTTTTCCCAACTCGTTTCTGTTAAAGACCCGATGCGGATATGCGCTAAACTCGCGAAAGTGAAAGAAAGTCGCGTAAAAGTGGAAAGAGACTCACCTGTCTGAGCTGTTTGGGTCGCCTCGGTCCCACCAGGTGTGACCGCGCTCGGCTCTGATCCGCGGCGCTGGGAGACGCTGCAGGGAGACACCGACCGCGCGCGAGCGCGACTGGTGGCAGCGGCGCTTCCGGTGCGCTGGTGAAAAACGTCACCCTGAAATGAAAAGCGGGAGGGAGGGAACGCGCACATGATGGGCTACGATTTCTAAAATAAAAGTGTATCTCATTCATACTTTAAAATAAAAAAAAGTTTTTAGTTCGCAGGAAGTAACAAAAAAATTCTCAATATTTTTTTTCACACATCAACACAAAAAATGCATCTTTGCGAAATAAAATGAAACAAAATTTTTAAAATAAAAAAATGGATACATTCATTTTTTACACTTATGCACATAATTCACCAAAATGCTTTCACAAGGCATCTAATTAGTCTATAAGCAACTCGCCTCTAATTTAATCTCAGTATGAATTAAGCTGTGAAGTGGAGGTGAGAGGTGAACCAACAACATCCTGAAGACAGAAAAACACAGAGGACGGGTCAGGGAGAAGCTCCGAAACTTAAAACATCTCACAGAGCACTAATTCATCTTAAATGAAAACAACTGTAATCCTACCAAGTTTAACAACTTAACCTGGCAGGTGGAGCAAGAAGAGCATTACTCGAAGAGACAGACAAGAGAAACAGACTCAGAAACTTTGAAGGAGTGATAGAGTTCAAGAGTTCAGATGGGAAAATTTGTTGAAAGCAACAAATCTGCAATCTACAAATCTGGTCTTTATAGAATATCAAGAATAAAGCCATTGTTCTCTTCCAGTGAACACCAGCACCCAAAGCAAAGTCTATAAAAACATAAATGATATAGTTTTGTGTTGCCTGTTTTTCACACAGCCTGATAAAACACCTTTTGGAGAAAGCAGAGTTGAGATTGTGATCCTCTCATCCAACATCAATGTCTGACCTCACGGATGAATTTCTCAAACTTTCAGAAACACACTCCTGAACTTCGTGAACAGCCTTTCTAACACAGTTGAATCTGTCATAGCAGCAAACTGGTGCCAAAAATTGTTATTAAACTCTGTGAATTAATAATGAGATGTCACTAAAGTTCATTCATCTGTGACGGCAGACAAAAGACTATTTCTGGCAATCACATATGCTCTTAGATCATTCGTTGCAAAATAACCCGAGAGTCTGTGGAGTATGAATCACACTCAAGTGGATTTTTAACCAAAATAACCATCTGCTAATAGTAGTAAAACAACTCGGTTTTAGTCAAGAGGCATGGCACTCCGGAGATATTCAGTCATTTTTGCATTCTGTCATTTTCACTTCAAGCAGTGATTTAAACCAGCTATAGGGGTTTAGTACCAGAAATCTAATTTCATGCTGCAAAAACAGACCTATAACTCTGCTCTGCTCAACGGTGTAACGTTAATAGATTGCGGGTGCACAACTGGTTCCCGAGGGTACGCTGACTTTCATAAATGTTTGTCACCATTACTAAAGGATGCATACACATCTCCATAGAGTTAGACGTCATTATATTTTTTTATCTTTTGGGCCGTGAAGCTCCAAAAACGCGACACGTATCCACACCCCACTGGTGAGTGCAAGCCAGATGTTTAGCCATTATCTCTGCACATGCCAGCCCTGATATAGATAATGAGAAAAGCAGGGTGGAGTGAGCAGGGGAGGTACTTTTCCTAAAAATAAACCCTGATCTATGGGCAAAGGTCACACTGCTGCATATTTAACATATTTCTGCATTCTGTTGGAAGAAAAACAGTGGAGAGGGTGTAAAGGTCATAGCTTTCCATTCATGCCAACACGAACACCTCTGTCCTGCCGCCAAATAAATTCCCAAAGCACTCCAAGCATGCACATTCTCACACTTTACTAAGAATTTGATTTAATATTTCTTTAATGCTCTAAACCCAGTCTAATGGGTTTGATTTGGTTTGTTTTCAAGGAGTCACTGTGTGTTTTGCGACCATAATGCATTTATGGTAAACAAATGAAGCGCTTGCCGGGCTGCAAAATGAGCTCAGCAAGCAGCCGCAGATTTATATTCGACATAACGCAGCACGATGGCTGCTCATGCACTCACACATTCCCCTTTTATTTAGCAGTAATGTCTCACTCAGAGGCTATTAGCTGCAGCGAGGAGCCCGCATCACGCTCACTTTTCCATGAAATTGTGTATCCAGTAAGAAAGCACTCAATAAACGAACAACGACCCAGATGTTGGGTTTGCATGCAGATGTTCAGTGGGCCTGGAGATGTGTGGAGACCGACCACTGGAGGGGTTTTCCCTACAAGAGAAAACTGAGTCTGTGCTGCCTTTCTTGAAGGCAATAATTGTCAAACTTCAGAAAGAAATTCAAGTAGGTCGATAAAAAGGAAAGCAAAAAGCAGTTCAACTGCCATGCTAAGGAGGATTAGTGTTTGATTCACCTTTCACACCCTGGTTCCCGTCAGATGATCCTGGATTTGAGTCGTTGAGCTGCCTGTTACTGCTACCGGCCTTTAATCCTCCTCCAAGTTCAGGCCCGTGCAGGTCAGGGCAGCTGGGCGCCGAGCGCCGAGGTCAGCAGCAGGAAGGATGCCAAACAGAGACTTTTAACTGACACACTTTCAATGAATTTCCAGGAAAACACTTCACTGAATCACTGATATGTTCTGGCTCATTTTCCCGTCATCTTTACCTCAGATTCTGTTGCCTCCAACGGTTCAGATAAAGTTTTGGGTTCAGGTCAGCATCTGTTAACAGTGGTAATGTTAGTCAGGACAGGAGCGTCAGGGTGCCAATTTTATCTTCTGGTGCCGAGTTGGGACAGAAATGTCTTTGAGTTTGCAAAATGATTCATCAGCATTTGCAACAGGTCTTTTCTTGTTGCTCTGATGTTTCTAAATCAATAAAATCAGTTTAGATCTTTTAGAAAAAAATGCTTGTTTCCCAAATATATTTTTTTAGTGTTAATTGGATGGTATATACATTTTTTGACATTTGCTTCTTGGCTATTTAAAATAATAATAATAATAAAGATTTCTTACGTTTCATTTTGTTTACAACAATGTGTTTTGTGTACACATCACATCAGATGCTCTGCTCCCTCAGAACTGATACAAACTCCAGGATTCCACTGACAGAGCAGGATATTTAGTTTCCTGGCGTTACAACTCAGCCTGAGTGTGAAAGACGTCTCTATATCCTGTTTTCCACTTGCATCCACAATAATCTGCCGTTGCCTTGAATTGCATTTCTCTAACCAAGCATGTTTATCTTTGTTTCGGCGACAGACTCGAGTTGTCACATCATCCGGATGCCTCGATTTGTCATCGTTTGTCACTGGAGAGAAACCCTGCTGCTGTTTGTCCTCTGAGCAGAGTGGTTTTGCGCACAAAGTGTGTCTAAGTCTAGCATTTAAGATTGCAGCTGGGGAGGAGGTTTGTTTGGGCTGCTGCGCTTTCCGGTAGAGGAGACAGGGACGAATGTGAGTGTCTCTGCAAAGGTCCAATTTCATGTTCATGAATAATTTACGGTGTGAAAAAGCAAAGTTTCTTCTTACAATACCGACAATATTAAAATATTCAATATTTGGGGTGGGGGGAGGAAATAGGGTCTGAGGTTGTGCAGGGCAGTTATGGGTAGTCAGCATCTTCTAGAGGGAATTTTAACAAACAAAGTTATTTAAACAGATTCCAGAGGACACTAACCTATTTGTTATTCAGCATCTGCATTTTCTTCTTTGGAAAGCAATTCAAAATTATTTAGAGAAAATCTCTCTATCAGCAGATTTTTTTCCTACAGCATATCTGACATCAAATAGACTCACAAGTCATACATTCAGTTCCCAAAAAGAAGTACTTATATTTAGTTTCATGCTCTTATCTTTTTAAACATTTTGTCATGTCATACCTATAAACGTCAATAAAGTTCATTGGCACAAGTAAGCAAAATGTAAAGATAAAGAAAAATAAATGTTTGGTTTTTTTCAATCAAATAAAAGTGTTACTTTACTTCTCTCATTTGTCTCTACCACTGTCATACTTGACTGAAAAATTCTCCAGGAAGTGTTTTTATGGTTGTAAAATGAAAATGGAAAACACTTACACTTCATAGTTGCCCACATTGTTGCATAAAACTATAAAAAACAACTTTGTGGCAAAATGTGACATGAAAACAGTTGGATTGCGATGAATTTCTTTGACCAGCAATTTATCTTCTTTTCCCCAGATGAATGTTTAAAATCCTGCAATCGAGGCATGTTCATGCCACAGACAGGACATAAAGCACACTCGTTCAGAGAGGGCAATGGAAAATCCAGAGGCAACACACTGAACTTTAGCATGACTGTGTGATTACAGCGCATAGCACAGCTTATCCGCTGAGCTTGATCTGAACTTGGGAGTTCTGGATCCAAGCAGGCCTCAGCAGGGACAGCATGCAACAAGGACCTACAGCAAAGGTGGCTCCTGAGGAACAAAGGGACATAAATCACAGTCTGGTTCAGCAATCAGAGCTGGCAGTGGATGCTCACCACGGCTTAATTCATGTCATGGTTGTGTGTCCATGTCTGATTTTGGTCTGCGCTTTATTTGCTTCAGACACGCCGTCATGTGGTGTCAACCAGTGAGGCGGCGCTGAATGATGAAAGAGAGCCGAGTCTAAGCTCTGTCTCCAGATTTCTGTTTGGAGACAGGATGTCAGCCGTCTGTTTCAGTATTCAGATCATATTTACATGCTGCAGAGAGTAGAGGACAAGTTCAAACCACGTCTACAAAAGTGCATAAAGTGCACCACCTACTGGTATAACATGGCATAGCAGCAGTAACTCAGTGATATGATGACACTTGGAGGATTCACACTAATTTTGTAATAACTGATACCAAAAAATTGTATTACCAGCTGAATAGTGAAGAAAAAAATCTGGACTGGCATTAAATGTAAAAGCTAAAGTGGAGGGAAAACAAACCCTTTAACCTGAGAGGGAACAGTGATTTATACAGCCTATCTCATAAAACAAGCATTTAATATATGTTGATAAATATATATATATCTATGTTAGTTGAAACAATCTGTTGCATCAATCATGAGGAAGCATCATATCCCCAAATGCAATGTCTTTCTGCCCAAAAGAGATTTAAGGGGCAAAACTGCCACCTTCCCAGGTTCCTTAAACATCCTGTTACAAATAAAGAAAAACTTCAAAAGATAAAGGCAAAATACATGTAAACATTTTGTTTCACATCAGCTTATTAAACATACAAAAAGGTCACCTTGTTACTTCCATAAGAAACCATTAAGTCCTACCTAACCTGCAGCAGCACAGCTGTTGCATAGTTAATAAAACATCTGTGCGCATAATTTTAGATGAAGAAAAATTATTTTAAGGATTATAGGAGTATAGGACTGCCACATGTTCACCAAATATGTGCAGAAGGAAGACACTGCAGCGTTTAGTTTTGACTTCTATACATCAGAAATTAATCACCAAGTTCTTGTTAAAAAGAAAAAAAAAAAGATAAAACAGAAAAAATATATGAAAAAACATGAAGGAAATAAGACGCAGGAACTTTCCAATGTACAAGTTTATTTTTAATGAATTCTTCAGTGGTTGGTAGTCACAGCACAGCTTGCATGTATTAAGCCACACACCTATTTTACAAGATGACAGAAAAAAAAAAAAAAAAAAAAGACTAAGCCAGAGCAGACAGCAATCAGTCCATCTGCTGTGATTCTTCTTTAAACTTATTGGACTAAAACTTCCTTAAAAGGCCACTGAAAATGCATAAAATGTTGAGTGGAACAGCTGATGGTGGCGTTTCGCTTCAACCCCACAAGACTCCTCACATGGCATCGACAGTGCATGTAGACATTGTAGAAAGAACTGGGTTAGCAATATTTAAGATATCCTTTATTTTTTTTCTTTTCAAACATTTTATTTTAGTGACAATACCTTGCCTATAATACTACAGATTTTTTAAAAGAATGGGAAACAAAATTAACAGCACTCGTCCAAAGATACTGAATACAATGAAAGTGAAATGTAGTGAAGCGATTACTCTTTAGATTTCACTATTATGTGAACCAAAAAACAAAACAAAAAGAAAAAGCAAAAACAAAAAAGAAAAAAAGAAGCCATCCCATTTAAGAGACGCTCTACTGTGTCCAATGTCCTTAAACTATAAAAGGAAAATAATTAAAACACACCTCTTTGTCCTCTGGAATTTGTATACTTTTAATAGTAACAGACGGGATCCATAAACGCATGCCATGTGCTGCTCTCAAACAAAATACATACAGGTATATACAGAATCACTCAGTACCTGCTAAAACAAAGTGAGAAATACAGAGTATAAACCGACTACAAACTTAAAAGAAAAAAAAAGAAGCAAAAAAGATTGAAGCGTCAGGAGTGAAAATCCTACTCGTGATGGACTTAAAGCATTTTTAAGAAGAAAACAAAATGAAAGAAATGCATATTGCACGTACAGTGAAAGCTTAAACTCCACCAGATCTGCGAGAATTCGAATGTTTCCCTCTTGGAGGAAGACGCACAGAGGGACGAGGACGGGGGGAGGTCTGCGCTTAAGAGAGGGGAGGAAAACTAATAATCAGGATAAATCAGGGGAGAGAAGCCACAGGGAGCAGTTTTCAGGCAGAAGTAGCTCTTAAAAAAAAAAAGATGGAGGAGTGAAGGTGGGAACTGCACAGCACACAACACGTTTAGAGGAAAAGGAAGCAAAAAAAAAAAGAATGTGGCACAAGTAAAAATCAGGTGAAGGATAATATCTGTTCTTCAGTGATAGTTGAGAGAGGAGATCAATGGAAGTGTTTTTTTTCTTTTTATGTACAACTAAGGCTTATTGGTTAAATAGTTTTTAGGCTTCCCTGCCCACATCGCTCTCACACAACCCCTCCTTCCTTCCTTCCTTTTTGCTCTGTAAACTCAGCACTTCTGTCAGAGCAGCCGCCACACCAATCAAGAGAACCACAGCCGAAAAGGATGGATGAACGGATGGATGGATGAACGGATGGATGGACGCTGCAGTGGTGGTGGTAGTGAAGGAGCAAAAAGGGAGAGCTGGGAGGAACAGAAACAAAAGGAGGAGTCTCGTCTCTGATGTCTGTTGCAATTAATATCTAAATGTGCAATTCCATTAGTCACTGCCATGGGGGACTAGTGGGTGCAGAAGACCGGGCGGGGCGGGGCGGGGCAGGAGGGTCGGTTTCTACTTGGAAAGCTTGCTAATGACTCGAATGAGCGCTCCATTCTCGTCCTTTAGTCTCTGGTTGTCTGCTTTCAAGTCTGGGAGCATCTGAAAGGGAAGAACGGGGAACAAGGGGAGGCAAGGGCGAGAGAGAGACAGAGAGAGAGAGAGCTTAGACGAGTCTCGACATGTCGTTCGCCCAGTCAGGCTGCTGGGCAGAGCATTACCAGCAGCATGAACAAAGCAACCTCAGGAGTCACACAGCATCTCACTGTTTGTCAGACAGTAAAACAGGAATAACGTCTTTGATCCAAGTCAAAGGGAAACTAAAGGGCGAACACACCACAGGCCAGAGATCCTCAGAAAGCCATGCAGAATCTGAGCGGCTGCTCACCAGCAGCCGGGGAATCACACACAGCGAGGAGGGAAAGTTCTCCTTCCTCAAATCAACTTCAGCTCAGAAACACAGAACCGGCCGCAGACACAACTTCCACAGTATGTGAACTGAGCAAGTTCCACAGTAAGTGGAACAAGATGCAACATTAAATGGGTGATATCATAAACAGATTTGGATGTGTGTTGGAACAAAATGGAAACTGTCGTATAATTCTGGGCTCCAAATATCCGATCTAGATCACAAATCCAGTGGAAACTAAATTTCATTCAAATTTTGTCTCAATTGTGGTTTAAGGTCTTTCAATGGATTTTAATGGAGATTCTGACTTAATTCCCCTGTAAGTTAAATCGTTCCATTATTATTTTAATTTAAAATGACAAAATTTTATGTGTGCATAAAAGTTAATCTAAGTTTTTACAAAAGAATCTAAAATCTTAGGAGCTTTGACTTAGAGCAACGTTTCCTCTGAGAACTAAAAACATTCACATTGAGCCTAGATTTTTTTTTTTTTTTTTTTAAGAAATGCACAACGAAACTAACTATTAATACTGCTTTCACTTTTCCACATTTTGTCACCTTTCAGTCACGATCGTCAAAGAATGTTACTGGGATTTTAAGTTGAAAGCGGTGCATCCTTATAAAGCTGCTTCGGTTTTGTAAACAGAAAAGTGAACATATTTCTTTGTGTGTGGGATTGGCAAAGTTTATCCACCTACTTCCAGTCAACAGTGATCAGATGTGAATACTTAACGTCCTATTCAAAGTGCATTGGCTGGTAGAGGGATTCGGTCTGTGACCCTTTGGGTCAAATCAAAGTGATGCCCCTGGTAGCTGCTTCATGCAATAAAACCAGAACAAGTCAAACTGATTTACTGAGCTACCTCTGAGGAAAGCATCAAACTAGAAATCACAAAAGGACACTTTCCTTTACAGCGCTTTCAAATACGTTAAAAAATAACTCACCTTCGCTTTTCTCCAAGTATCTTATTAGCATGTTATTACTATAGCTTGTTAAGCAGTAGTTTTCGGAAAGCCCACCTACAGTAGCGGACTGTAAAAGGAGAGTGTCCTGCTGGAAAAGGCAAACAGCCTCCCCAATCTGAAAACCAAAAGCTCTGGGGAGGCAGGAGAGGGGAAAACAGTCGGAGTATGGCGGCTGGACACCTGCCTGTCTACGGGTGCGGGGCAGAGCACAAATGGAGCATGAGAAGAAAGAAGGCAAAAGGGAGGAAGAAGAAGACAGAAGGAGGAGATGGTGGACAGACAGACGAGGCCTAGAGGTCGCCGGTGGGCAGCTGGCTGCAGGCCGACTGGGAGAGCTTGGCCACAACGCGGGCCAGTGCCCGGTTCTCAGCCTGCAGCCGCTCCTTAACTTGCCGCAGGGCCTGAACCTGCTTTACCTGGGGGAGGTTCTGAAAGGAGGACGGGGTGGAGAAGAGAGACAAAAGGGAGGAGACAGAGGGTAAAAGTGGCAGAAGAAGAAGAGAAATGCGTTTTAAGACCAAAAATCAACAGAGAGGATTAATAAATATATCGGGAGATAAGACAGGAGCAGGAGGAGGAAAAAAAAGGGAAAACAGGAAAGGAAGATTATTAGAAAATGGGACAGATTTGGAAAACAGGAATGATTTAGAGCTTTCCGTTTCAACAAGAAGCTTGCAGATCAAATGGTAAAGTGACACCGATAAGATCAACATCCTTTCCTCAATCTGACAGAATAAAACGCTAAGCAGAAGTTAAATATGTTTTTATTCTCCCTCTTCATTCAATTCATTTTCAAAAATAAGGAACCATTAACTGCTTGACAATACAGGACAGTAAACACTGATGGTCACAGATTATAAAGAAGCTAATATTTGTTCAGATGAGCAAAAGCAGATACAAATCGAGCTCAGTGTCTGACACGGCCATTATGGGCCAGCAATATTTAAACTTTATAGAAAACTTTCTCCACAGCTCGTTTTGCAGTATCTGCTCACACACAGGCGCAACTTAATTAACCATAAGTATGATTCAAAAAAAAGAAAATCTCAAAACATTATAGTAGCTCATTTCTGTTTATTTTGATGATTACGATTAAATTATAAAGTTATTCCTGTAGCTTTAGAATTTAAAACATTTTTTCCTTTTACTTAACTTTTGTTTAATTCTCTGTGGATATAGAATCCTGGACAGTCAGGTTATTTAGCATCAGACCTTTGTGTCTCCCCAGCTTTATCAATTTTACAAGAAAGTATAGTGGAAGGGAAAACAGGGGTCAATTTAGGATGTTAGCCAAAATTTAGCTAATAAAAAAACTAAAATTAGAATTAAATGCTTAAGTTGTGTCACTGTATGAAGTTTCACCTTAATTCAATTAAATGATATAACATTTTCATTATATTCAAATCCATCAAAGACAATTTGATGTTTATAGTGATGCACCAATTGGTCAGTGATCTGAGCTGAAGTCTGCGGCTTTGACCAACAACTGGCAGGTCAAAAACTGACAAACAGGTTGAATATATGCATCAAAATGGAAAACACCCACTTCTTGTAAAATGGCTAGTTCAAAATCAAAACGGGACAAAAATCATAACCATCTGGCCAGACCTGGGTTTTAATACAGTGCAGTAAAACAAATTGATTGGTGATTGGAACCAGTCGAGTTTAGGTTGAGATACAAAAAACAAAATTAAATAAAAACAAGTCTTACCTAAGAAACTCTTTTGGTTACTAACAGAAGACAACCTGAGATTGACTCTTCAATCAATCTTGTTATCTGCTAAAACCCTTCAGCCATGAAGGGTTTTAGCAGATAACAGGAATCCTGAACATAACACTGCTCTGTATTATTTTGAACTGCTAATTTCAAAATAATTTGATTATAACTTGATTACCAAATTCAAAAATTAGGAGGACAAACTCCTTCTGGAATAAATACTGTGAATTTATGCATGCAACTTTTGGTACCTTGAGTTCCTCCTCCATCTCAGAAATCTTCCTTTCTAGAGCTCTTCTTTCCTGTTGGGACAGAAGAGGCAGGTTAACACTGAACTAGAAAAGAAAACACCAACAGATTTAATGAGTGGCAGCAAATGGTGTTGGGTGATCACACACACACTTCACTCGCATGTCCTGTGAAGGGTGTTCAAGCAACAGCCAGCTCACACCTAAACAGTAAGTGACTGAAACTGTAGTCGACTTTCTACAGGCAGGAATGAGTCTGAGTCTAATGTTTATTCAGATAATTAAATACAGCTTATTAAGTGGATTTAAAATAGAGGATTAAGACCACAGATCAGCTGGGTATGAACTAATCAAACTAATATCTAAAAGCATGAAAAGACATGCACAGGGTCTGCTAATGTTTCTTTTTTTCAGCAAAAAATTGGATAAATACAGTTCCACATGTTAAAGACACACGGAAATAAGCAGTCAATGGAGATAGTGACCACACACTGCCACTAATGTTTAAATATAAGTGGAAAAAAGGAGAAATAGTAAAATAATGTGTAGTGTTCTGGGTGGAGAGCCTGACTGATACCAGCTACCACAGCACAAAGTGAGCCTACAGGCGGCAGCAGAGAGCAGACCGATGTAAAAAGTCAGGGTAAGATCATACCACCACCCAGCTGGTAAGAGGGTCTGCTTGTTACCTTCAGACATAAACCCATTAGCAGTGTTACTGGGATGTTTCAAATATGCTTTAACAATAAATTAGTCTTAAAACACACAGGAAACAGAAATGATCTCATTTTAGTTGATGGTTATGTAACAGAGGAGTGAGATGGAGGTGGTTTGGTGAAGTAGTTCTGCCATTACCCTTTTCTCCCTCTCAAGCTGGGATCGGTCAGCGTAGCGTTCCTGCCTCTGCGTTAAAAACACATCAAACTTCAGTTGCCTTTCCAAAACAGTTTTGCTTTTCTTTTCTTTCTTTGTTTGCTTTTTTTTTTAAAGATGATGAGCCGTGTAAGTGTGCATACCTGTGTAGCTTTCTCTAACTGTAACTTCAAGTCTGCCAGCTCCAGGTCAGTGTCGCGTAACTGGGCCTTTAGCTTCTCGTTCTCAGCTAAGATCTGCTCATAGAGCTGAGACAAAACATCAAAACATGTTTACAGCCCCTTTTACCGCCATCAAAGTGCTGAGCAAGTGTTAGCAATTTATTTAGATTAATTCAATTCAACTTTTCATTTGATCCATTTAATGGACTGACATTTGAAACCTATTAAGGAAAATGATGGTACACCCTCTTTCATTGCCAGGATTTTAAGGTAAAAATGATCTGGACTCAACCTGGGGTGCAATTTAAATGAAAAACAGAATCCATGTTGACATTTAAAAGAACAAGGTGAAGGAAAAGAAAGAATAAACTGTGTGAAAAAATAACAGCTTGTTAAAGAATATTTGAGAAAATAGAACTTGCATGAGAAGGAGACCAGAATAACTTTTGAACTTTTAGTTTCTCATGCCATTAACTTCTTGTTTATCAGGATTTCTGTCATCCAAATTGAAATAAAATAAAAAAAAGAAAGCTAAAAGTGAGTGCATACCTTTTTGTAGTCGGTGGTGTCGTCTCTATCCAGTCGGCTGGAGTACGGCCTTCGACTTTCACCATAACTACGGCTAAAAAGAGCATCGTTGCGATCTAAATACGAAGTGCTCTCATTTCTGCAAATAAATAAATAAATAAAAACAGGTGACATTAGCAACCAAATATTGCAGTTCAAACATATTGCATTCAAAACATGGTGATGCTGCAACTTACCTGGACAATCTGTCACTCTGTAAGGAAACAAACAAAAAAAAAAGTTAATATAAAAGAACTAAAACAATTAGGTTTGTCTCACCTAATAAACCCATGTAGATTTATTTATGAATGATAAATTAAATATTTCAGCTCTCTGTTAGTAGCTGGAGAAGCCGTGACCTTAAGGTTTTCCTCTATCCAGAGATAAACACTCATTTCCTGTCGTGGTTTTGCTGCAGCTCCACCCATTGTAAGTGACGGATCACAGCTGGAGTTCCTCCTCCCTGATGGCTGACTTCAAACAACAACTGTCTCTTTGTCTCTGTTAAGACTTCAAATAACTCTCTTCCAAACAGGAAGCTCACCCAGAAACTAATGAGTTTGCAAAGCTGCATTTTCGGCCTTACGTTGCATCAAAAGTGAACGGCATGCATTTCATGACTAATTTATAAAAACTTTAAATTTCACTAAAGTATTTTCATTCCTACCACTTTATGACACCTAAAACTGAAGTTAACATCATGTTTGATGTCAACTAAGTGACATACATCTACCAAAAGATTAAAGAAAAAGAGCAAAAGACAAGCATATAGAATAAAAGCCAAAGAGCAAAAATCAAAGGGAGAAAGACTGTCAGGCTGAAGTTCTACTTTTCGTCCTCAGTGTGGGTCAGGTTAGTTACCTGTGGTTCTCCCCTGGTGCTGCCCTCCTCAGAGTCCGACTGCTGCTCGGGGTCATCATCTCCACCCTGGAATTTAAAATCAGAGAAAGTGGTTGTCTTAGGTCTCATCGCCATAATGAGCACAGGAGAACATCAAGTGTCCTGACCTGAAGAGTGTAAGAATAATAATAATAATGAAAAAAAAGTCTTACATCTTGAGTCCAGAAGGACACCCCAGTGGAGCGTCTCTTCTCCCGGGGCCGCCTGCGATCCCGTATGGAGCGGGGCTGAGACTTGTCCTCCCCTTCCTTCTCTTCATCCTTTCTGTCTGATTCTGTCATTGGAAAAAACATTTTACATTTCTTCACATCAAGATCTCAATATTTGACCTCTAAGTGTATGTATTTGTCTGGCAATTTGTTAGAATTTTGATATTTTACAATCATTTAAATGTGTGTCATCAACAAAGTTTATTAAACTATTCACTAATTTATTGATAACCGTCCACTAAACATCTAGATTTCCTTAAAAATGCCTCTTCAAATCATAGGCAGCACAGAAATTCAGTGTGTCTTAAAATAAAATATTTATCTGTGTGGTTTTATTTTAGAATTACTGCATGAAAAGATAATATTTAAATAAAGATGCTAGAAAAGACTTTGGCTGCTACAAACTAAACCATAGACTGTGGATTCAGGTGAACTAAAAACTTATTTTTTCTTTCTAAAAATCAAAAGAAATCAAGGAAACTCCATTTTCTGCATCAACCTTCTTAATCAGCTTGTGGCTGTTTTCCTGTTGCTGTGGATCTTAGAACTTCACACAGGTTTTCATCTACACATCTTTGCCTCAAACAGTGTAGCTGTTATTTATTTTGGTGATTTTGAAGAGGACCGACCTTTTTCTGTGTCTCGAGAGGACCTGCTGTAAGATGAGGTGATCCCCGTCAGACTGTTGGGCCTGTTGAGGGCGCTGGACCCAGAGGACAAAGAAGAGCTGGAGTAGGGAGCAGTGGAGGCAGTGCTGACGGTGGAAACGGAAGAGGACGAAGACGAAGGTCGATAACGCTGCGGGAAAAACAAGGTGTGAAGAGGAGAAATTAGAAATGTGTTAAAGCATCGCCCATTTCAAGAGAGATGACAGAGGTGAAGCAGGTACCTCTTCAAAGCTCCGGTACTTTGATCGGTAATCATCCTCCTTGGTCTCAGTCTCCTTCTTGTCCTCCTGTTTCTCCTTATCTTGCTTCTCTTTCTCCTCCTTCTCCTCTTCGCGGGTCTTTTGGGGACGACTCCTGCCAATTGTTTTTTCAGCCTCTTGTAGGTCAGTAAGAGTCACACCCTGGAAAAACAAGGGGCATTTTCTGTTTAGAAAAATAATGCCAGTAAAATGTTTCAGCCCTGCTGCAGCAAAGAAACGTCACAACATTTAAATCCCGATGCAATATGCAACATCTTCGGTTCATTTTAATGATAAAAACTCTGAAGACACTTCCAAAAGCATTACTGACCTGGGTGGAGCGCCTCGACTGCCGGGCCTGTCTGGATCGAGCTTTCCTCTGAGACTCCGACTCCTCGTCTCGCACCGGTGTCAGGTACGACCTGATGCAGAAAAACAAACAAACAAAAAAACATTTCAAGCAACTCTTATGTAAGACGCTCTGCAGAATGAATGTAAAATGAGAATTTTTTTTCTTAAATTTTATCAGAAATGTGATTTTTTTTTGTTCACTATGCGAAAATAAACATATAAAATAAATCACACTTGAGCAAGCTACAGCTGATCTTTTGGGAGCAGAAATGCATCTCAACTGCTGCAGAGGAAAGAAAAAAATAAAAAAAAAATAATTAAAAAAAAAATAAATAAATAAATAAATAAATAAAACCAAGAAAATTTTTATGTACATATTAATGTTGAATTCTTGTGTAATGTTGGCAGAAATCTCCACACTTTCTTAAAGCGGCAGTATTATGTGTTTTCCAGTCTCATAGTGCCACTTTATAGCACAATCAAGTAACTATGTTACCTTCAGTTGTTATAAAATGCCATTTACAAGAAATTGTTTTAAAATAAAAAAAAAGTTTTTCAATCAATCTTTATTGTTATCACAACAGTACAGCACAATCTTGAGATGTAATTCTAAGTCAATATCGCCAAACCTTCTTTAAACCCAAGATAAAAACAATTCCTAATGGGAAAAAAACAAAAAACAAGCAAGCAAGTTTTCCTTGCTTAAAGCTCAAACGTGTCTGCAAAAGAACAAACAACAAAACGTTGTGGTTAACAGCATGTTGCCCTTGGCCTTCAGCCCACCGTCCTTATATGGGGAAGCAGCTGGAGTGGTCCAGACTGTGAATCTGCTCCCACACAGACAGGTGGCTTGTTTCAGTGAGCCGCTCTACTAAAGCATACTTTCTCTCCCGCAACATGTGTGGAAAAGGAAAGATTCTTAAACTGAATAAAATAAAAATTTTAAGAAAGCATCTAGATTGCTGTGAAAACACTTGTTGGTTAAAGTTTTAAGCTATGTTAGATACATTTTTCAGAACAACTGAGCTGCAGAGGAGGATTAAAAGAGAAGTGTGCGCTACCTGCGTCGTTCTGGGCCGGTGCCGATGCCAGTGAGGGCGGTAGTGGTGGATATGGCGGTGGTGGTAGTGGTTGACGTGGTGGTTGTGGTAGAGCCAGTGTTTATAGTGGGGATAACAGCAGCTGAGTCCTTTTCCTTCTCCTTTTCCCTCTCTGCACTCTCCTCTGACCAGTACCTGTTATAACAGTGAGCTTTTCACCAAGACTGAATAGTTTGTCTCTATAAGCTCCAACTGACCACAGGTGGAAGAAGTTTACCTGCTGGTGAGACTGGTGGAACCAGTTCGGGTGGAAGAGGACCCCAGGCTGGAGAGGAGGCCGCGGTGGCCAGTGGGCGAGGTAACAGACGAGGAGGTGGTGGTGGTTGTGGAGGAGGTGGTAGAGGAGCTCAGGTCCTCGTGTCTTCTGCCGAAAGAGCCACTGAAGGGACACAGATGTTACGTAAGTGACCAACACAACCGGTCTGCTTTTTTTCTGTCAGCTCTTTTATCTCCGTGCATCGCCTCTGTCCTGCTCCTTTGCCGAGGGTAGATTGAAGCCGATACGCCACATAAATCTGATGAGTTTAGGAGGCCGTGTTCACAGATTCCCCAGGAAACAAACCGAGTCACCAGACTCAGCCGAGTGTCAGTGACACTTTCACATAAAGTCAAAGCCGCTGATGCCTCTTAAGGGAAAAACCCAGCATCAGTTGCATCAGTGTTACTTAGCGGTCCTTATTATAGGACAGCTGGTAGGATTTTATTGCCATTTGTTCTTTAACAATATGAGAGAGAGAACAGGTCAGACTGAGACTGAGGAGAGTTTGTGCTTGGTGGGATAAGATGACTCAGATTAGAAAAGATCTCAACTGATGAGGGAGGAAGATTGCAGATCAGTTATTTCATTTATTTTCTAAATGCATTTACAGTGCTTTGAAAAATTTTTCATACCCCACCTTTTTCCCCACATTACCTTAAATTACAATAAAGGTGAAAGTATTTTAGTAGGATTTACAAATACTTAATATTTGTATAGTGGAAGGAAAAGATTACAAGTGGAAATAAAAACCTCTGAGTCAATACTTCGGAGTCAAATTACAGCTGTAACTTGTATGAGCCCATTAGTTTTGAACATCTAAAGATGACATTTTAGCTCATTTTTGTTTATAATATTAAGACTTGAAAACAATCATTTTCATGATCATTATACTGAATGGTTATAAAAAAACAATCTGGAATTTATTTCCAAAAGTTTTGACAGCATATAGTGTGTCTTGAAGACAAGATGTTGAGAAGTTCGGGGCTTTTGAAAATTTCTCCTGCATTTAAAGTATTATAGATAAAAAAAAAAAATCCTTGAACTTAAAACTTCGGAACTGAACAATACAAACTAAAACTCAGAGCATGAGACGGTGCTGCATAAACCGAGCGAAGGCAGAAAATGTCCAGAAGAGCAGAGAGGCGGACAGAAAGGACAGCTGGGTGTGGAGGCAGCGGTGTACCTGCGGTAAATGCTGTAGGACGGGTAGTGGGAGGACGGTGGCTGCCAGGGTTTAGTATTACAGGTGTTAGGATCCAAGCTGGAGGTTGACGAAGACTTGGCTGGCACGTCCCGCGTGCTGCCGCTCCGCCCCAGCGCTAGCGTATGGGACGTGCTAGTGTGTCGGCACGCAGGTGGCCAAGAGAGTTAGCGGTGGAGGTGCGCACACACACAAACACAGACAAACATTTACATTTATAAAACACACAAAACATGTTTAAGTCTATGAAGCACACTACTGCTGCATTCATAAGATAAAACTTAATGACGTCTGGGAATAAAAGAACTTTACTTTCTGCTTTCTTCCTTGTTATATTTTCAGTGGGGAGAGAAAAACAAAGTTTCCAAATTGAAGTTGTTTTTAACAGATGGTTTAAAGCTGTCAGGATATGAATGCAGCTTTAGTCTATGCTCATGTGTCATAAACAGGAATATAATTTATCTGATGCAACAAACAGTAGCTAGGCTTGTTAAAAATATATAAGTTGTGTTTGAACTGTGGCTTGACAGAACAGGCACAGTCATGCAACAAACTGTGGCCGGGGTTGAGAGGGTACAAATAAAAGCATTTACATACATATTGGCTGATCTGACTATGAAAAGCAACTAGCGGCGATTGCAGCAGGTCAGATCTAAATGAAGAGAGCAGATCCTGAGGTGAGGGATGGAGGTTTAGCAGGAGCTAACCTGCGCTGGTAGCTGGAGGTCCGGTTGGTGGAAGAGCTTCCTTCGCTGTTCTTCAGGTCGTCGTCCCAGCGTCGCCGGGTGTATGAGCCGCTACGTATCAGAGCTGTAGAGTCCCTGGGGAGCCACAAGCTCTTTAAGTACCTTCCATTTCTTTACCTCATCATTTGCTTCTAATAACTTCTAGAATCAAAGTATTGGCGTATTGAATTATGTGAAATTCTTTTGCACAGAGTCGCTACTGCTCTGCTCCAGAGCTTCACCTGTTTTCCTTCTCATCGATGTCTGAAGTACTGGCAAGTCTCCTGGGGATGGTTGGGGCCACGTACGCAAGTCGGGTTCCTTTGTCTTTCTCCTGTAGAAATCAGAACAAGCAAGCATTCTGTTAGCAAGCTAAAACAATAATTTCTTACATTAATGTTTAAACATGACCAAACATTAAGTAAAAATATAATAATAAAAAAAGAAAAACATTAATAGAAAAAGGTAGTACCCTGTGATGCTCCTTGGCTAATTAACACTTGTTTGGACACACAACTTTCACAAAATTTGGTCTATTTATGGGATGAAGTTAAAATAAAAGCTATTCCAGAGAGTTGTTAAGCTCAGTGTGTACTGATACTTTTGCACGGAATGGTAAAGGCTGGATTACACAACCACAAAATCATGTGTTTGACAAAATAGGTATGAAAGTATTTTCTACTCACAGTAGAAACGGAATGTTGGACTGAAAAAAATAAATCTAACTCATCACTGCCGACCTTTTCCTTTTCTTTGTTGTCCAGGGATGAGGTGAGGCGAGGGCTGGAGGCCGATCGCATCACGCCTGTAGTGTCCTTTTCCCTCTGGGCTTCCTTTGTGGCTGTGATCTCGGAGAGCGCGCCGTAGCTGCCCGTCTTCCTCAAACCCAGACGCCACGAAGCCGGAGACTCGTCCTTCCTGTCTTCCTCCACTTTGGTTGAGGCCTTTCCGGCAGGCTGAACGACCTGGAGAATGAAAGGATGAAGCAGCGGCTTTGATAACAGTGAAATACACATTTATGTTCACGACTATAGCAATATTCTTAGTAGTCTTAGTAAACAATAAAGGGGGATCACGTCAGATGCTTACTGATTAATTGATAAGTGTATTTATCTCCTTGCGCCTCTTCCCATTTTTCCAGATTACATACAAACATAATGTATTTTATTGTGCCAGACAAACACAAATCTGATTGCACAGAGAGCAACATGTTTCTTTCTTCACATTTATATTCAACTTTCTGTCATAATGTATAAAGGTCTAAGAAAATACATTTTAGTTTGTCATCATAATGTGACAAAATGTGAAAAGCTGAAGGAGAACAATTACTTCTGCAAAACACTTTATACTTTGTTTTTAAGGATAAAAACTTAAGAAAAATTATCTTCCCATCGTATTCAAGATTTGGCTTCGATCTAAGGTTTTAGCAAATAAATATTTGATTCTATACTATTTTAACCTCTGTCAGAGGATGAAAGCAGTTGAAAACACAGGAAACACACAAACACAAATTAAAATTAAATATTAGCAGTGCATTTGTTGATTACAAGTGGAAAAAAAGCACCATGTAATGGTGATGAGTGAAAGGGAAGTTCAATCACTTGTTGGATTTTTCCACTAGGGTAGAAGCCATGGTCAAATATAACTCAAAAGAATAATGTGGGGGATTTTCTGTAAAAAGAGCAGTTCAAATGCTTCCACACAAATATCACTTACAAATATTTACTTTGTTTGTAAGAGAAAACATAGCTGAAAGCTGAAAGTAATTAATAATGTGGTATGTGCAAGTCAAAAGCTGCCGTCCCCTGAAGAATCACAATTTACTGCTGCGCAAAATTCTTTAACAGGCCAACCCCAGCAAGTGGAAAAATCCTACATCACCTGGAACAGGTGGGGAGTTAGGGGAGATTTTAGTGCTTTGTGAGTACACAAGTGCATGTAGGATGAGACAACAACTCTGGTGCACACCAATGCCTCACCATGGGTTTTTTGGGCACAAGAGAAATGCCAGTTTTGCGCAAACCTTGACGCCACAATGCAGGACAGCCTGGCTCCGCCAAAGGCATGAGAGGTGTAATGTAATCAAACTAAAAGGCGACCGCGGCAAGAGCCGAGGATGATAAAACGGGACGGACAGGGAGGAAGACAGAAAGGTTGAAAAAGAAAATAAGACAGAAGCAGAAGCAAAAGAGACACACTTTGTGCACGAGGACTTCAAAGCCGAGTCACACCACCTGGTGCCCAACTAATGGTACTGATCAGATGAAATAATTGCAGTCGGTTGGTATGAAAAATGTTCAATTATCAATCAGGTGTGGTGAGAAAGAACCAGGCTTTAAATAAGGTCTGGAAGCTTAAGAAGCAGAACTACTAAAGCAGACAGGAAGAGTTCAACTCAGTGACTGAGTTCAACACTTTCTGTGTTGATTTAACTTTTCCACAAAGCTCCTCATTCAGTCAGCAGCTTCTGGACATCCAAAACAGTTCAGTTGCTTTTCTTTAGTCACACAAGCAGCCACAGCAGCTTACATGCTCAGTAATGCTAGAGGAGTTGTGTCTTTTTGCCAGCAGAGGGCAGCAGATCCAAATGTGGCAACAACACAACTGACAACACAAGTGGAAAATAAAATCTACAGCTGAAATCTGGAGCTTTAATAGATCCAGATTTTCCAATAACTCATTCTGAATGGGAATTCCTTTTTATTTTAAGAGCCAAAGAATAAAAACTACAACTTATTTAACTGATTTCAGTGAGAGCACTGTGTTTTAAAAACTACATTGACCTGACCACCTGTATTCACACAAGGTGAGAAATCACCCCCTTAAACCAGCATGATAACTGTTGGATCAAGCTTGAGCTGCAACTCTGGACTTCCTTAAAGGGGTTAATTCAACAAAATCTCAAAGACTAAACTGTTTTAACAAGAAATTCATCCAAGATGTTTTACCTTCTTAACTGGTGAAGTGGGCGTCGTCACCTGATTTGTTGGACTCGTTGGAGACGACGTGCTGACGGTGGCCGGGGTCGGTGTCGTCGTTGTGCTGCTGGTCACCACCGCTGGGGTTTTGCTCTTGTCTTTGGAGCAATAAAGAACATTTTTAGCTATGTCAAAATGACAAACATTCAGAAAAATCTTTTAATTCACATTTTTCTTTTTGTGAACATTACCTGCTTCAGTTTCAGACTCTGAATCTTCCTCGTCCTCCTCCTCACTCGAGCAGCTTGATTCGTCCTTCTTCCCCTCTTCCTCTTCGTCCACCTTCTCCGGTTCTAAGGTCTCGATGCGTGGCGCAGTCTTTTCCGGCTCCAGAAGCAGCGTTTCTTTGCTGAAGTGGAGATTAGAGCAGAAATGCGATCCTTTCATGTAAATATTTGCACAGATTTATTTTTTTCCCTCAGGATAAAACCCCCTCTACCTTTTGAGTGGATTCAGTGATTGGTTGTTGTCCCCTGTGGTTGTCACCTCAATCAAAGGAGACTTTTTAGCATCCTTCTTCTCCCTCATCAGCTGAAATGAAGACAAGAAGCATGACAATTGGTCTCAGAAGCTCATCCAAACTCCTTAAGCTTGAATGAATTATCCAGTCAGTGACTCACCAGGTTTTGTTTCTTTTGTAGCTCTTCTAAATATCCCAGAACATCTTCATCAGCTACATCAAAAGCAGTCTGGCCCTGAAGGGGAAGATGTGAAAATAAGTCAAGTATTGCAGAAACACTGTGCGAGTAACAAGCTTCCATTACCCACCATTTTATTAACAAGTTCCATGTTGCACAAATTCTCCACGAGTATTCTACACGCCTCCTCTTTGCCCCAGTGCGCCGCTGCATGAAGAGGTGTCCAGCCATCATAGTCCTTAATATTTATGTCATAACCTGCTTGGATTAAAAGCCTGGACAGAAAGAGTGTGTGAATTAGTGAATGTTGATTCTGCAAACCGATCCTTCAAGCAGCTGCCAGAAACGACAACCTTGAGTCAAATTAGATTATTAAAATCTGAATCTTGGATTAAAGCAGTTAATGATCACAAGCAGCAAAATATTTAAGTAGAATTGTTTGTGAAGATTTAAGTCAAGAATCACTTAATAAAAATAAACTAGTTCCACTGGTAGATTATTTCCCCTATAATTTTGGAAAAACATCCTCTTATAAGTAAGAAAATTTGCAGGTGAAATTATCACATTTTTAATCAATAGTAAGGAATTACCGATTTAATACAACTTTCTATAGGTTATTTAAGTTAATTTTGTTTTATTTCAAAATCTCAGATATTTGCACTTGAAACTAGACTAAAAAATAAGATTTTGAGTTTTTGCAGTGTTGAATGTGTTTTTACTCTAATCCTGATTTAAGCTTCTCCACAACTTTATTCCCAACCTCTCTGTCATTTCCAGACTTTTATTGGGCGTAAAAAGGGGTTAAATACAAATGCAAGAAACACATTTAGGTTCACTATGGGTTTGTCTATCACATAAAATACCCTAAAACATTGACATTTGTGGTTGTTATAATTATGTGACAAAGTTTAAGGGATAAAATTGTTTTGCAAGGAACTATGTGAAAACTTCCTTTTAAACTTTGCAAATTGTGTGTTTTATTTCAATTATACTGCTAAAACTGGATGGATGGAGAAAACCGACGGCTCAGTGTCAGACAGGACCTCGAAGAACCACAGGCAGCCGCGTTCTGGCTGCCATCCCGGAGCCGAGGAACAAGTTACTGCCGCTTCGATGCTCACGCGGCGCAAAGTGTATTAACAACCCACAGAAACCATGTCAAAACAAAGCGAAATGATAAGACGCAACTACGCTGGGAAATCTTGTGTTGAGACTGCTGTCATAACCCAACTCTGTCCCTAGTGCTCCTCTGCATGCACCCGGTGAACCAGCGTCGTGCTGCAGGTTGCTACATGCAGAGATGCTTACTTTAAAACCTCCACGTATCCTTTGGCAGCGGCTACATGGAGTGCCGTTCCTCCCGACTTTGCGTGCCGGGTGTCTTGAATTTGACCGCTGTTCAGCCATTGCCTAGCATCTCTCAGCATGATGCGCTCCTCCTCTTTTCGGGCAGCCTCTATGTCCAACCCTGGAAGAATAAAGACAAATGAAACTATAAAGACTACCTGCATCTAAGGAGAAAGCTGCTGCTTCACCAAATATATTCCCAAAGTGGAAACAGTGGAATAATTCTTGGCACTGTTATCAATTTTTCCACACATTTGATTGCATCTGGTTGATTGGCGTGCATACCAGAAAGATGTCTCACCTTGCTTTATTTACAGTTTGTCAGGTGATGTCAGTCGAACTTCTACAAATGCGCACACACACACAAACCACATAATCAGCCGCAAAACAAGCCACAGTTTCCACCGTAGGCATCACTGTAATTATCTTCAGCCAAGTCTTTGTGTTATATGCTGTGTTTCAGGCTCTGGAAGAGGAAAACCAGACCGTAGATAATTATAGCGCCACCTCTGAATGCAAGGGTTTTGTTGAGTACTTTGTTATGCTTTGGGGAACAGTTTGTGCCAATATCCAGTAAATTAAACAACACAATAGTTGCAAACACTGACGCTGCCTAGCTGGTTAAGTGGGTCAGTATGTCAGTGTTATACAATCCATACAAGGAAGCGGTGAAAACAGCCCCGACTTAGTGTGACACCTGGCTGAAACATGGCCTGAAAACTCACTGCTGCTGTGCTGATTTTCCAGCTGAGCCTCAACTGCATTCCATAAACAAAGACCCAAGAAGTGTTCTGGGGTCGGAGCCAAGCTTAAGCTCATCATAAAGCTTTTTTGCTCCATTCTGATCAAAAGCTAAAAAAGGAAAGTCTGTGACTACATGCTCGGGTTGGCAAATGCTTGCTTGAGGAAGAAACAACATTTTAAAGAAGGTTTTGAGAGCAGAAGGAGGAACGTTACAGTCGTGCCATCTTATTTTACTTTCCACTGATTCGGAGTTCGACTGCATTCTTATTTTCTCAACTTACGAAATATTAATGTTTTATGATTCAACAAAACAATCAGTAAAATAAATGGTCTCGTCTGAGATTGAGCCACATGTTTCATTTAAGACTCCACTGTTGATCTCAGTAACTTTGGCTACAAATGCTAAAGCATTAGGAAATGTTTTAAGATGCAAAAGCTTTTTGTTTTGTTATTTTTTTTCATTAGCTTTGGCAACTTTTTATAAGTGTTTTAAAGTAACATTTACAAAACATTTTTGAATAAAATTACAATAGCAGTCCAATAATAATAATAATTACTAAACACTTTTTTTCTTTGTTGCAAACTATGCATTTTCACATTTTTACAAAAAAATGACCAGACTTAAAGTAGTTGTCCTTTAATTTAATAGAAATAAATTATGTAGTAGGTTCTGTTCAGGTAATTTGTTTCTCTAAACAGATTTTGTGTAGCTGAACTAAAGGTTCTTGACCTCTGCTCTAGATGGAACCACATGATAGACCCATTCGAAATGAATTGCAGCAGTATCTGCATTGAAAGGTGGTTGCACAAAGTATCACCTTGGAGACAGAAAACAAATGCCAATCCCTACAAATCCCTACAAAGTTCTGAGTGTCTATAACAAACTCTCACTAAACGCATTAGAGTTTACCCCAACACGATAACATGAAAACGTTCAAAAAGTTTGAATGTTTATGCAAGGCACTGCATTCAATGTAATTCACCAGAGCATGACAACAATCTGATGCACATCATTTTACTTAATGTAGAGAACCAGGGCTGACCGGGTCAGCCAGCATCCTTTGATCTCTACTGAAGCAGACAACACAGTCTATAAAAAGCATGGAGCCTAATGGCCTCTAAGCAGCAACACAGAGCAAGAACTAAGTGGAAAACTTGGCACTTCAAAGCTGATTTTTTTTAAGTGAGAGAAAAGAGTCTACCTGATGTGAGATGACACAGATGGCAGTGAAATATTATAATAGTAGATAACATGAAAGCGATGCCACTGCAGCATTAATCTCTAGATTTCAGCCATTACAATTTGAAGATGGCGCTTTGGGAGTTCCCTCTACAGAATCGAGGACAAGTTTTCTAAGCTGAGCGATTCTGCTGGCCACTTGGTAACAAATTTAACTCTGTGGTGTCCATCTGACAACAGAAAAATCAACCCACAAATGCAGAGAAGTGTTACACAACAGCTAGTTGCATAATGCTGCCTACTACCTCTAGCATGGAAAAAAGAAAAGAGCAACTGCCCTCAGGACAGGATTGCTGTGAATTCACTCTCCAGTGGCGCTTTGTCATGAAAGCAGTTTCTGCAATCCTGCTTCTGTTTTAAGAAACAAAAACTTAGATTTTGCTCACTGACATCTGGACACTGCAAACAATTTAGCATTATTTAATAATAGAGGATTCGGCTGAGAGTGATCAGAATAAGACAGGAAGAGCTTCCAGCGTAATTAATTCTTTAGTATTTATGTATTAAGTATGTACAAGCATTGCAACTTGTTGACTGTAAACAAACAAGCCAATGCAGTTGATGCCTCAGACAATGAACCAGGTCTTTTTGTATGAATACAAACTAAGGAGCTCTGGACAGCAGCCGGGTGACATGTTGCAGACAGCTGCTCTCCATGAAGGAGTGTCCCGAACAGAAATAGTAAAAACTCAGCTTTTCACTTTTGAATCATCACATGACAGTGAGTGACACAGATGCATGACATTTCTATAACAAGTTAGTTATATTGGGGAGCCAGGAAGCAGCAGGTGGCTGACGCATCGACGCTCTAGTTTATATTTCAAAACACAGACTTGCATGCATGAAATACCAAGAGGCTCCTTCAGGTTGCCATTAAAACATAGGCGCATCGCTTGATTCTAGACATTATGAAATAAAGTTAGTTCCAAATATTTATACGTTCATATTTTCTTTTAGATTCAGTCCTGTGTTTTGAAATAGCGCCATTAACAACAAATGTCATGAAGGCATTTATTAAGTTCAATTCAAATTGTTCCAATGCAATAGAATCAGACAGTAAGATTCAAATCCATTCACACATAGTCCAATAAACCAATTACAAAGTCAAATGTAGATAGTCATATTTTACCAAATGATAAAGATATTTGCCAACAGCACAGTTTTCTAAACTGAATAATGACAAGTTTTGGCTCATCCCACAGGGAGTTGGGGGATGGACGACATACTGTACCTTGTCGGTTAATCTCATTTTGTAGAAGTTCCTCCATTGGTTCCTCCTCAGCGATGTCCAGAGGCGTCTCCCCCTCACTGTTCACAACTCCAACATTAGCGCCTTGGCTGATCAGATACCTGCAGAAAAGAATTTCAGCAATTTAATTCCTCAAAATAATGTGAAGGGAAACGTTAGCTCCTAAAACCTCTGAGGAAACTGTTAAGACAGGAAGGAAGTTTTGAATAAAGTTAGTTTTTAGTTCAATGCCGGTGGCGAAGCTCACTGGTGCGTATTGTTTTACAGGTCAGGTAGTTCCAATACTTCTAGAAGAAACTGTAAATCAATCAATGGCAGTTAAATAACTCTAAATGTGGAAGTTTCATAGAAGTACTTGCCACTTACATAATAAGTCGATAAGATGACAACGTTAGATTATGAATGTTGTATCTGCCTTAAAAGAAAACAATGCATGTAGTTTGTTACCAAGCTTTATCTGGTGAGTAAACAGCATCAACTGCACCAAATCAGGATCAGAACCACAATCAATGGGAATTACGTAAATATTTAAACATTACATGCACTTCCATAATTACAAAGAATAATAAAGTGATACAAAATAGTTCAAGAAAGATACAAAAGGATTCACATGCATGTAAGAAATGGAAGTAGAAAGTAACAAAATGGCAACATTTCAATCATTTTATTGTCTTCATTAGTTTTCCTGAACTGCAGGATTCTGGTCTGCCTCGTCACTCAGACAAGATCTTAACAGGTGTGGGCATCAAGTCATCCATTAAAACGCCCAAATATGAATTTGGGGTAATTTCCGCACATAGCACTTTAAAACATTACAGTAATTTGCCGTCTCCATTTTGCATGCTTTGAGACTGGGATGACTAGTCCAGTCCAATACATTGTGCGGCTCTATTATTTATCAGCCAAGATCTTGATTTAATTGCATTTGTTTCTCCGTCTCCTAAGGCTATGAAGAAAGTGCAACGGGTTTAAAAATAAAGCACAAAAAGATGAAGTCAGATGAAGCAAATGTCATTTTAATTTCAAAGCCTAGTTTCCTGCAGCAACTGAAGACATTTAAACCATTAAGCCTCTCTAGTTCAGCTGCCTCCAATTAAAGCGGTGGTCACACTCAGGCCCTTCTCATTAGACCAACAACCCACTTCAAAGACTTTTGAATTTCACACAAATAGAAACTGACCAAGAACAATTACGTCAAATTTTCAACCTTTTTGATTGGACGTTCTGTTCCTTCTTTTCCAAGGTTGGTTCTGTGGTTTTGTGGTCTGTAGACCCAGTGAGTTTCTTACCCAGAGTCTGCATTAGGTTGACCATGGTGAGAAGGGAGCTAAACAAATCTGGTTCTGTTCATTGACAACAGCGATTGTGAAAGAGGATGCTGAGATTTAAAAGGACCTACTGAGAGCTCCCAGCCTATGTCAGGTTGTAGAGCTTGTCCCTCTGTGACATGATGTCTCCATTAGTCACCCATATCGGCACAGCCACTTGACATTTTCCCTGAAAATGTTAAACAAATGACTTCTTGTTTTCTGCTACACTGCCTCTTGCTGGTGTGTCCCGAGGATCCACTCAGAAATGACAGTTTATAAACCAAAATGAAGTAGAATTTTTTTAATATGTTATTCAATACGTTATGTTTGTTTCTCCCCTGCCAGCTGCAGTTTTTGGAAAAAAACATATCGGCCCAGAGCTAGACTTCTGAAATGTAACCCTAGTAAAGCAGGTCAAAGAACACTCCCACTGTGCTGAACAATGAGTACCACTGAGCTCCTTTAGCCCCTTCAGCCTGTTTAAATATCTCCTGATAACATCTATGTCTTGGTTTATGCCAAAATGAGCCATCTTCTTACCTGACAAAAACAAAAAGGGCAAGAAATACTAGAGTACAGCTCTAGGTGTAGAGAATGACCCGAATCTGTTAGAATTCAATAACAACAAAAAGAGTTTTTATATCAAGAAGATAACAGAACTGGCAAATATTGAGAATACAGAGGTTGCAAAACAACCTGTTGACGTTCGCTGCTGTCTGACAGAAGTTCTCTGTTCCCTGTCTCATAAGATAAAATGTGTTAAAAAGTGGGATTAACAATTTATTTTGTCGCTAACAATTATTTGAAATAGTCTACGTTGATCATACATTTTCATTTAATTTGTTAATTCAAATAAGTATTCTACAGTCAGAACTAGTAAATAGTTTATACTTGCAGCTTTCGTTGCATTCCTTATGACTGGCAGCAATGTTGGATAATTTCTGCAGGGTCGTTTGACGAGATTAGACTTTTCCTTGTGTTTTTAACCACAAAACCCAGAAAATTTTAGTTTGTAGTACTAAAAAGAACACACTATTAACCACAGGGAGTATTTCTAGATTAACCAAAACAGGCACTGCTTTGAAACTGAAGGAGCACCAACCATAACTCTGGATTAGGTAATGCTTTTTTTTAAACTAGAGTTGACAGATTTAAAGGACTGTCTTTGCCGGAGTGATAGTGTTGCTGCTTTAGTTTCCATAACCTGAGTGTTCCCGATTTTGTGGCCTGAAATATTTTCAAATGAATACAAAATTCGCATGTGACTGAAATACTCTCCAATGCTAAAACACATCTGAACCACCAAGCCAAGCTAAAAAAGGAGTCACCCCTTGAATTTAACTTAGTAAAGGTTAAAGAACCTCCTGTTGGAAAATTACTGAGATAGTTATTTTGTTTCAGCTGGAAACAAGTCATTCAACCCTCACTGACGCAGGGAACATCTCTTTGAACAGCAATCTTACATGGTGTGAGAACGTCAAGATTATAACTTCAATTACGAGTGAGAACTTCAAGGTCAAAAAGCACATTAGTGGCACAGTTTGGACCTAGATGTGATTTTTTAATGTCTTGAAAAGGTTATTTTAATCTTGAAAAATAACTGTTTGTGTATAGATTTAAAATGTACTCAGAATTGTTGGACCTAGAAGCTGAAGCTAAGGTTAGCCAAAGAGGTGGCGCAGCAACCAAAACAGACTTCTACAGCCTTAAAACGACTCCAGTTTAAAGTCATAGTCACACTATTTGATGAATCTTTGAAGAGTAAGCAAATGAGTTTGCAAAGATTGCGAGGAAAAATAAAAAAAACTTTGCTTTTGTATTGGTTAGCTGTTAGCTTCAGCTTTAAGAACCTCAATTAAAAAACCCTGAACTCTGACAACCTAACATTAACACAAACACACCATCTCTGTGGAAATTCTAAGCAACTCTGGATGAAAACTGTTTTTTCGGCCTGTTGTATAAGATATCAGTCTGAGAGGATCCATCAGTGCTGAGTAGCATGATATCTGTTAAGTGTTAGATTTGTTTCAATCACCAATATCACAGAAAGAACTTCATATTGAAATATTACACTTCACAGTACAAATCAGCATCATTTCTACATTCCTGAGATTTTGAGGAAATTGTGTCACAATAAATGATTTATTATCTAAATGAATGCCTTTGTTATAAGTGAGTAAATTGCCGCTGCTTTTGAAGGATCTTTGGGGAAAACAAAAGCTTTTGTTTGCAGCTGGAAGGAGTTTGTATGCATCATTAAATGGATTAGTTATTTTTTCCATGGGCTGCGTCTTTTGGCTTCAATCAAGCACTGTTATTAATTAAGAAAGTAACTCATAGGGAGAAAAAAACTACAAAAAAGAAAAATTGCTTTTAAAAGTCAACCAGGTGAAGAGCCACTGATGGTCAATAAATTTGTCCAACCTTAATCTCCATCTAACGCCATATCAACATCTTCCTTGGGTCCCTTTCTCTTTGTCTGAAAATATTTTAACATTCTCATCTGAAAATGCAACCAGAAAAAATACCCGACATTAATTCATGTCGTGCTGTTCCAAATGTATCTGGGACATGAAGACCAAACTATAAACTTCAGCCTTTTATTTTGCGGTTATACCAATCTGATCAGGAAAACTGATATAAAAGAAAGCTAAAGACACTGCCAGCTTACACGTATGTGAAGATGGTCAGAAAAGGTCAGCTGCTTGCCTATTCTTGACCGCAGTTCAATTGTTAATATAAAATATATGTTCTATTCATGATAGTTGAAAATGTAATACAAATAATTTACCAATAAAATATAGTTGTATGCACTGTTTTCTTACATTTTGCTTGCATCAGCACTGATGTGGCAAAATAGCATTGAAAAATATCTTAGCTATTTTGTTCTGATTTAGTAGTATTAAGGAAGTTTCATAAAACTCAGACAGCACGGCAAAGAAAATAGTAAATAATCAGGCTCGAACTGAATTTATGGGTCAAACCAGACGTCTACTTTTGTTTGATCTTAAGATGAAAGAGTGCAGCATTCAGTGTAAAAACAACAGGATGTAAAGGATGAGTAAGCTGAACTCAAATCAGATGAAGCTGATAATGTTTCCAAGAAAGACAGAAAAAGAGAGAGAGAAAGAGAGAGACTTACTCTGCTATGTCTAGGTATCCACAAGAAGCTGCAGCATGGAGGGGGATCCATCCCTCATTGTCAGGTTGGTTGACGCTGGCTCCGTGTTCCACCAGGAATGTCACCATGTCAATGTTGTCATCTATGCAAGCCTAAAAGAAAAGGGGAGCAGAATGAGACCACAAACTTCTCCACACACACTTCCACGCGGGTTTATGTCAGTGGGAAGAGCATTCGAGTCCTGCTGATGGATTGCTGTGTGTGTCCAGAACAGTTGAGGAATTTAGGCAGCTGGAGCTTGACCAAAATGCCTGCACATAGCAGGGGTGCTTGAAATACCGCAGAGTGTAACGCTGCGCTGGCTGATACAGCCGTTGACGTGTTGTGTTTATATACTGATAATTTATGAAGAGAAGGGGGAAAGTGAAATAGGTCAGCTATAAATGATAGCCAAACATTTTGTCCCAGAAATTCAGGTAGTTTCACCCAGATCAGTTCTAAAAATTAAGTTTTATAATTATCAATTCCAATATAAATATAACCAACTCATTCATTTACTGAATTATTGCATTTTTCATTAACGTATTGGCTCCAACAAATTTTAATTAGTGTAATATATTTTTAATATTTGCCTTATTATTTATTGGATCTTATGAACATGATAAAGTACATTGCAGACAGAATGTTTAAATAACCTGGGGAAAAAAAAAAAATTAAAACCACTGAAATTGCTACCAAAACACCTCCATTCATTCAATATAAATCTCCACATAAACCACTTTGTCACCTGTGGAAGCAAAACGAACAAATGTCTCCTTTGAATGAAAATGAAATCTATGAAAACCGTCTCAAATTAGACACGGTGCTGCTCGAACCGTGTCCTGACTAACACCACCCACAAACCAAGCTGACAGTGACAACACAAGTGATGCCCACGAGAAATAAAAAAAAAAAAAAAAAAAAAACAGCAAGTGTGGGAGTTCTAATTTGAGACTGATTTAAATCGTGATGGAGGCGTTTTGAGACAATCTTTAAGATGACTAAGAATTTGCAAAAAGAGTGAACAGGCCTAGATTCTGACTATATTTCATTGACTGGTAAGGGTTTATGAAATGCTGGATGGAAATAGTATGGCGATTTTACAATGGTTTGAAAAAAATATACAAACGTTATGTTTTCAATAATGTAGCTTTTTTTTATGCATGTTTTCTATAGTGGTGGAAAGTTCCTGAAACAAAAAACAAACACAGGAAAATTTTTATTTTGTACAAATAAATTACTTTCAATTAAAATACAGTTAGCTGTGGTTTACTTTTAAGAACAACAATAATAAAGAGGAAAAAAATACAAAAGAAAAAAATAAAACGCCTCCAACCTTTGACCCCTGAGCTGCACTCTGGACCATGTGCCTCTCTTCTCGGGTTGCTATGACAACATAAGCATCCACAAGAGAAACAGACACGCATGAACGCATGCCGGCCTCCTGTTCAGGGCACACCACTATCTGACTGGAATCCTTGTCCAAATTTGGACCGTTTTGGAAGCACTCTCCCGGCTCTGAAGCATTAAAAGCCTCGCTGCACTTATCTGCCGGTAACCGTCTATTTGTGTTTGATGTGCGTGATATAACCGAGATTCATTTATAAGGTCCGGCTGTACGTAGGCGATCGATTCCTTAAAGAGAGAAAGCTGTAAGGCTCAGGGGGAATTTTTCACAGACTGTACGTTTTGGATTTTAAGCTGTTTTTTTTTTCTTTGTTATAAAACAAAGTGATGATTAATTAATTAAAGCTGAAGTAGCCTTTGAAATGGAGGCAAGACCTCCAATTCACTGCACATTGAAGTATTACAATTCTACAATTATAAAAAACACAACAAATTCTGGCGGTCTATTGATTTCAGATGAGAATATCCAAACTGTAAAAAACAAAAAACAAACTGTTGACCAGTTATTTTTCTTCATTGTTTCTGGTAAAGAGCAGCAAATTGTTCAGTAATTGAAGGAACAAACGTCCTACACCATTAAACTACAACCGACATCATTAAAAGTCAGTATTGAGGTCTTTTTCTGAAAGGTTGAGTTGGTTTTACATCGGGCATAGCATTGAACACCTGTCAAAAAGTTTCATTTTTGTCTCATAAGTCGGCAAAATATTTTCCCACATGACAAACGTGGGTCAGGTCTGGAGTGGTTTTGGTCTTTAAAACGGAAAGGATTCTCGCTCTTGAATCATTCTTCAGAAGCGCTTTAGATGTTGCTCTGTGCTCCATTTGGACCACTGGGTCGTCAATCTGCTCCTTGGGTAATTTTGTTAGTTAGCAAGGCATGCCTGGAAAGAGTCAACACTTTTCCATGCATTCTCCAGAGATTTGTAACACTTTCCACACAGATGTCACTGAAATTAGTAAAACTCAATGAAAAACAACAAAGAAAAAAAATAGATTACTTCAAAAAGTATGGTGATTGTTCCTCTAAGGTGGCTTGGTTAGCTTTCAACTCTAAAATGTAATCCTTATTTGAAAACTAGTTTGTCCTTACACAATATTAAGCCTGATATTAACATTTGATCATCTGAAACACTACACTACCACAACTATTATTTATGTGCTATATGTTATGTGTGTGCGTTGTCTAATGTAATTTGATTTGGAACAGGTAACCTGTACTGAAACATAAGAGTGTTCAACATCAGCCAAGACGGTAAAGGAAAATAAAAAATAAAAACATTAATTCTCTGCAAACTGAATGGTGCTGCATTACCCTTTGGTGCCGTCTGAGTTTTCACTTTTACATTTCCATAAATAATTACCCGTAGCAGAAAAAAAATCACAGATTATTCCTCTCAACTTGTCATACTGTGTTTCAGTTTGTATTGGAGAATAAAAGGGGAATTATCTATGCAGATTATGATCATAGGGGACGTTTACACTGTGTATGTTTGTCTTTCTACACGCTTGAGAAAGCTTGTATATTGGCAGCTGCCTGTTTTTATGAGACAAGATAAAAATATGCAATCACAATCGCATTATTCTGTGTTCTTGAAAAATAGAAACAAGCCTGTTTAGGCGGCCGTTGATGATGGCGGACTTCCCTTAAATGCGTCAGAGGCCTTCCTGGGAGAAACGCTCCGGGCAGCTACTATACCAATTCCTTAATGGCTGTCGCGTTTTGTGGTCGACAATAAAGTTTGGTGTCGTAGCCTGAAGGGAACATTTTCAAACAGCCTGCAATGTGAATATTCTCCAACATGTAGGCAGCCCATGTTTCTGCATACTGAACAGACCTAATCAAACATTTGATATCAAGCAGCAGACAGTCATTCCACCCAAAATAAAAGGGTTTGCAGGTAATTAATTGAATTCATACAGGGAAACTCATTAGCCAATCAACTCAGAGTTGCCAAGCCTACATACATCAAATGTGACGCAAGTCCTCTTCCTACATACGTAATGCTTTAAACCTGTTTGGTTGGTGTCATGCAGAGATGAGACGAGGAGGCAAATCAGCTTTAAACATGTACACAAGAGAAAACAGGAACAATGTCCATTGACCAAAGTTTAAAATCATCATTTATAGTTGTTTTATATTTTTAACCAAAAACAAAATGGCCTTAAATGTAATGTAAAAGTGTAATAGCCTCCACTCAGCCAGCTGATGAGCAGCGAGGGGGCAGTGCTGAACCACACAGCTGGAGAAAAGAGTTTCCTCCCGACTGTAAATGAAATAGTTAGTCATACTACTCTGTTGTTTATATTGGATCTATTTATTGATCCTTTATTTAAAAAAAAAAAATAGGAAACATTAGCTGAAATTCCCAAGTCTACAGACCATTAAATGCACCGTAATTGATGTTGTCACTTAGTGAGACAAACAAGCTGCGTTCCTGCCGCTGGATCTGACAAAAATGCCCATACATAATGGAAACTGACACTTCTAGGAAGTTGATGCAACAGCAAAAATAAAATGAAGCGCTACGCCAAATCAATGGACACCGGAAGCCCCATTTAATTGGTCGATGCAGTTTAATGTGGGCTGTGTGAGCAGCCTCTGAAAACAGCACTGCTAATCCATTAGTGATTCAGGATGGTTGTCAATGCAGCAGCAAAATAAAGTCAGAAAGGCAATTATAAAGCAATTTCATGTTGAAATTCTGGAAAATGTGCAAAACAAACATGCAAATAGATTTGAACACATTTGTTTTTTTAATTGCACTTTAAAAATATTCTGCATTTTAATATATACAAGTGTTTTTAAATGCAAGTTATTACCATTTTGCTATAATTTTATTAAAATAACTCAAGTCTGCTACAACCATATTTTCTACATACTTATCCTATTGGAGGCCTGAATGTCCAGACCAAACACTGATCAGAGATATGCACATATTTTTTAATATTTAATCAGTTAAAAGCTTTCACATCTGACTGATGTCAGACAGCCATGGGATTATCTTGGAGTGGAGTGGATCAGAACCAGGTAAATGCAGAAGGTACATCAGGAGTTCTATAATCCAAAAATAATAAGATGGAATTGAAGTGGTGTCATAAAGCCATAAAACAAAATGGACGGCGTCATTCCACTGGTCACCAAACAGACAAATGGGTTGTTTTTGGCACTACCATAGAACCAAAAAACAAAAAAACACAAAATAATGTAAATAAATACAGAAAATCGCATTTTAAAACACAGCAAGGTTCCATGGAAAGCTCACAATGCAATTCTTTAAACAGACCACAGAGAAACAAACAGCAGACCAATGTTAAAAGGAGCATGTCTAGCTAACTGCAAGGATTTTCCTTCGAAGATACATGAGAGGATGTGAATGGCAAGAATCCCTAAAAAGCTTTTGCAACTTTGCAGGAAAACATAAAAATCCATCCACAAAGCAAAACAACAGCTATCATTTAGAAAGAGGACAGGTATTGCTATTTTTGGTTTATTATCTAGGAGTGAACAGAAGTCCAAATTTAACATCAAGAAGACACTTGAAGACCCCTCCCATCCTCGACTTCCTCCTGCTGCTTCCTCAAGATGTTCAACTCAAAGCTCAGAGATAGCAGTTTGTGGGAGCTTCTTCTTCTCTCTTTACAGCAGCAGCCACTTTGTGGTGCTGCTGGAAGAAACCCATCTAAAAGAATTACTGTCATTACT